TTGTCCACCTGCCCTCTCCCCAGCGCTCCAAAATAGAGTTCAGGCATCACAGCTCACGCGTGTGCCGTTGTCCAACCGTGAGCGGCCTGCGCCTGTGCTCGTCACAGGCTCCTTCTGGTACAGCTGCGACTCCTGAGGCTGTGCCGCTTAATTCATAGAAATACTGTTAAAAAAGTGCAAATGCCAACAGTCGATAGCTTTTGTGTTTTGTTTCAGTTTTGGACACTCGTGATGTGATGTGAGACAGTTACTGAAGTGATGAAATCCTCTCAGGCGATTAACAACTGAAAGTGTTCTTTCACAGGGAAAAAAAGTCTGCTTGGAAGTCGTTGGAATTCAGGATTTCTGTTTGAACACTTAATGCTTTTACTTTAGCAGTGTACATCAACAATGTATACAAATATTTAAAGTAGGGTGGGAATAAATGTAAACTGCCGATGCTTTCCACTTCAGGGTGGCTACTGTGCGATCCAGTTCTGAATTGCAAGGAAGAAACAGCATCTGGAGCGAGTGGAGAGTCCATTCTTTGTGCAGTGTTGTGACTTAGTTTCTGATTTATCTGATTGTAGGCGAACGAATTAAAAAGCCAGTTCCTCTTCAAGAACAAACTGTTAAAGATGCAAAGGGACGATACCAGCGTTTCCATGGAGCATTTACTGGTGGTTTCTCTGCTGGTTACTTTAACACTGTTGGCACAAAGGAAGGTTAGATATTTTTCTGTCTTCTTGGAAGGATTAATTGATCACCATAATTTAACGTTAGTGAAAACAAATTAACTGTCATTAAGCATTATTTTACCTACTATTCATTATACTGTAAATAGTTGAAACAGTATTGTTGAAGTTATTTCCCCTTGAGTTTTTGCACTCCGGTTTTATAGATGTTCCCTTGATATATCCTTAAGGTGTAAGGTTGAAACCTTTAAGGTGTAAGGTTTGAATTGTCTTCCGATATTATGTTGCCGTTTACAGTACCTTAGTTAGATATGTACTTTCTTTAAAGGATGGACTCCTTCAGCTTTTGTATCATCACGGCAGAAGAGAGCAGACAGAACCATTCTTGGACCAGAAGACTTCATGGATGAAGAGGTAAATTTATAAAGGAATACAAATCTTTTGGAGTAGTTGCTGTCACAGCAAGTTTTTCCAGCAATGAAATCTTCTAAAGAACTTAAATAGCAAAAATGGAAGTAAATTTAAAATTAATTCTTGCACACAGTGTTATACTGCTAGGTCCTATAGGATGTTTCATAGATTCAATTAGGAAGCTCCTGTAATCTCAATATTAAAAAAAAAAACCCCAGAACTCTACCCTTTCAAGTTCTCTGACAGAAAATAGAAATACTTTTGAAGCTGTTTAAAATATGACCATTCAAGTTACTGAAAAAGCAACTGTATAAATGTCTTGACAAATTTAGCCAATATAAGGGTCATATCCCATTTTCTTTACTGTTACAGTAAGTAAGCATTTGAGGGAAACATATTTTTAACCTAAATTTTTCCATTTTGTCTATATTTTCCAGGATCTTAGTGAATTTGGCATAGCACCAAAAGATATTACAACCACAGATGATTTTGCATCCAAAACTAAAGACAGAATAAAAGAGAAAGCTAGACAGATTGCAGGAGTCATTGCTGCCATTCCAGGAACCACTGCATTTGATGATTTAATAGGACCATCAAAGTAAGTAAATTTAAGTAGACTTAACCGAACAATTCGTTTCACTTAGAAATGTTGTATTGGTTAGAAAAGTAGCATTTGACCACAGTAATCCATGGAAGAGACTGGAAGTTCTGCAGTGTTTCCTGTTCTGCAGTTACTTTCTAAGTGGCCTCCACTTTTGTTTTGTATGTGCAGACTTCTATCAGGTAAACATTTACAAACTGGGATGTAGTGTTTATGCAAATGTTGATGCATTCAGATTTGTTTTTAAAGTGGGATATAAAGCCATAATTTCGAATGGTATATGTGTATATTATTTCTTAAGAAATATTAAAATCGTTGTTTGAGGTAGGATTTTTTTCCTTTTTTTTTTCTTCATAGAATAACAGTTGGGGTTGAACTGTTACGAAAAATGGGCTGGAAAGAAGGACAAGGAATTGGACCACGAGTCAAAAGAAAGCCACGCAGGCAGAAACCTGGTATGTTCAGTTTCTGAACTCAGTAGTAGAAAGTTCACCTTCATGGACTGATTAGAAAGTTCATTTTAAAGCCTCCTTGGTTTGTTTTTTTTTGGTCTGTTTCTTTCCTTTTTTAAGAAAAACTTAATAAAGATTTGTAATTTAATATGATGCTGTTATGTCTCTTACAGACCCTGCAGTGAAAGTATATGGTTGTGCGTTACCACCTGGACTGTCTGAGGGTTCTGAGGTATTAAAGTTGTTTGACTTATGTAAGAATGTTGTGATAACACATTAAAAAAAAACTTCTTTCATGTCTTTGAACAGTATTTTAACACGCAGTTTGAAGTTTTGTTAAAAGTATTCATAAATATTTACTGTGCTTATTGTGAAGAAAGATTTCAATGTAACAAGATTTATTCTTTTTCTACTTAAGCAGGTGTAGTTCATACATATTTTCATATATAATTTAGGAAATGCAAACTTGCATAGTCTCATGTTGACTAAATGTCGTAAAAGCTCAACATACAAAACTTTTAATCATATTTGCTGTTACATACTTTTATTTTGTACAAGGATGAAGAGGATGAATACCAGCCAGAGAACGTGACATTTGCGCCAAAAGATGTAATGCCTGTAGATTTGACTCCAAAAGAGAATGTCCATGGACTTGGCTATAAGGGTTTGGACCCCTCACAAGCTTTGTTTGGTGTATCTGGAAGAGAACACCTAAATCTTTTCACAGGTGGTTCTGAAGACACAAGCAATTTACTTGGTGATCTGAGACACAGTAAAGGAAGAAAACTAGGTATTACAGGTCAGGTAAGGGCTTTTTTTAATGCATTTTATTGTTAGTGCAGTAAAATCTAAATTTTCATTTTTTTCCTCCGTGGAATGCACCTGGTCATTACAGGGTTATTGTAAGAAATTTTAAGTGTGGTTTGAGAACAGGATTATTTTCTTTTTACTTAATATGAAAATGTGGGCAAGTCCTTAGATCTCTGAAATGCCTTCACTTACTGATATTGTTAAAGAGAACTATAAAATACCTCACTCTGAATAGTTGGGTGGAGAAAATTTTTGTGTTACTTTGGTTAAAGAAAGTTGATGTTCAGTATGGCTTTAGTTGACATTTTTTGTGTCAATTTTACTGAATACCTTCAGTAGTGTTGAATCTGTCAGCTAGAGAAATTTTGCTTCCGTGTGCAGTATTTGTAGTTCTTATGTAGAAGCACTGTCAATTTATATTTCTGGGAAATATGCTCATTTAATTTTCATGGCAACTTATGTTTTTTCCTTTTGAGAACTTAACCTGCTCTTAGTCGGACTGTAAATGTTACCTTGTGGAATTAGGCTGCTGTCGTCATCTTGTACAGACCAAACTCACTGTCCCTCCCTGCCAAGGGAGTGAACTATCTTTGCTTTTGTGTTTGGTGGGTTGGTGGGTTTTTTTTTTTCACTAGTTGGGAGCACTTTTTTTTGTGAAGCTCTATGTTTTTCCCAGCATATATATGTTTACTGGACATCTTATATAATACAGATGGATAGATATACCTGTAGGTGTGTTCTGGCACATGACTTAAAAGTACTGGTTTTACACTCTTGAATTCTTATCATTTTTATTTAAAATACATTTTAGGCTTTTGGTGTGGGAGCTTTAGAGGAGGAAGACGATGATATTTATGCAACTGAAACACTCTCAAAGTATGATACGGTTCTAAAAGATGAGGAACCAGGAGACGGCTTGTATGGCTGGACAGCGCCTAAGCAGTATAAATCCAAAAAAAGTAAGAACTGAGTAGTTCTATCTAAAGAGCTAGTGTAATTTGTATTTGCAGAAAAAAAAAAAATGACATAAGTGTAGTCTCTATTTTCCAAATATTTTAATTTTCAATAGACTGTTATCTTCTAGACCTGATATCTGAAACTTCATCTTCCTTCTATATTGAAGCGTCCAAATCTGGAAATAATTTGCAAAGTCCCCCACAAATCCCAATGTAGATTAAATCCCCAAATTGTATTTTTAAAAGGACAGTATGTGCTGCTTTGTGAGGTACAGCATTCAGTTGCACTGAAAGAAACAAATGATTGTGAATCACGGCTACAAAATATGACCCAATACTTGCAAAGATAATTTTTTTTCTAGATGTATTTGTTTATATTTTCAAATAACATTTGTAAATTTTATCTTGATGCACCTTTATTTTCAGTGCAGCTTTTAAGTGCATGAAGTACGGTGGTGATTTCTAGAGTACCCGTTGATGGTAGTTGTACACAATTAATGGCACTCATGATGTTAGCTATGCACAGTAGTGGTACTGTTGCCTCACCATTGTCTGTGTTCACCTTAAGCAATCTCTCTGGTAGTAGTTTTTTATCTGTATAATATTAATCCAGACTCAGAACCCTTAAATTTAAATGAAAGGCATTGAAGACAAAGAACTACAATTATGATCCATAAATTATATTGCAGAATGGAAAATATTTGGAAAAAAGTGCTTTTTGCCAAACATATATGTTATAAATATTGACCAGTTCTATGGTTATTTCGTAGGGTCTGAAAGAGAAGTTAAATATATAGGCAAAATCTTGGATGGTTTTTCCTTGGCATCCAGATCATCAACACCAAGCAAGGTAAGCAGATACTGATATTTTTTTATTAAGAATAACATCAGCAAATTGACATGTGAGCTGTATGGACTTCACTTTCGTTGGTGTTTTTTATGTTCTTAGAAATAAAAGCTCTGGCCAGCAATAAAGACTGCTGAATGAGTAAAACTATAGCCTTGCAGGCTATACTTCAACAAACCTAAAATTTGTCAGACTACTGGATGAATTTAAACTTTGTGTACTGGCTTTGAGCAAATGCCTTCCACACTGTCCACTATTATTTGGCGTAAAGTTGGACTCATGGTTTGATTTAACTTTGAAATAAAAAATGTGTACATCTTTTGCTTCTTGGTCTTTCCAATGTAATACTAAATTTTCTGTAAAAATCAGGCCCCATGCTTCATCCACTTCACTGTTTTGGTGACAAGTTAATTTGTTAGCCCTGTTCTCAAGTTTGCATCATTTATGCCATATATATTTGCATAAATTAGAATGAAAACCAGAATTGTGTTACATGGTCCTTTTTCTAATGAAGAAAAAAGAAGAACATTTGTGTCATATATAAAATTTCATCATATAGGAGACGTAGAGATAACCTTTGAAGTAACAGCTTGAATGAAGGATGTGAGGGAAAAGAACTTTGAAAGACATTAAATATAGTAAGCACAGAAGTACTCAATAGTTCAATTCATTGATTAAATCATGTGACTTCTGTTTTTAAAAATGTAGTTATTAAACAATACCAAGAGCATTTTCTAAAACAAAAGCAGTGCATATTAAGACTGTAGTTAATTCTGCTGCACCTTGATGTGCATGTTTTTCTATTATTCATAATCCTTATATATTAACAATGTAACAATTTGTTCCCAAAGTTTGTGTTACGATACCACTTGCTCACTGGGTCTAAAAGAATCAGTAGCTTGTAATATCCGTTTCTACTGCTAAGATGTAAAGTGAGGAATTTTTTGATTGAGGTGACTTTTTTCTGAAACACATTTGTAAGTGTTAAATACAAAGTTGTATCTCTCTCAATGCATGGGGTTTTTTTTGTTATCCCCCTGCCAAGATTTATTCACCGCCTGACCTGCCACGAAATTACAGACCAGTCCATTACTTTCGACCTGTAATAGCAGCTGGGAATGAAAACTACTGTTTGCAGAAGGCATTAGAGGAATCAACTGGACAACTTAAGAGTGATATGACACAACAAAGCAGGCATGCTTTGACTGCGTCTCAGAGGAGGGAACAACTAGGAGAGACTGGTCTGAAAGGTATTGATATATGTGACCACACCTTTGCTTGTGTTTCAGGTTTACAGTAAAATTTTGTTCTAGCCTTGAACGCTATTTTCTGATATAAAAATATTAAATCTAGTTGGATTAGCTAGAATACCGTGTCACTGTTCGGTTTCATCTCACAGATAAATTGATGACATACCTGCCTGTATTTTCATTTACTTAAATCTTTTAAAGAAGAAAAGTTTGTGTCGGATTGTGTTTTGTTGTGTTGGGCTTTTGGGGTTTTTTTGGTGTCTTTTTGGTAGTCTTATTATGAATTCGCTGTATAGTAGGCTTTGAGGTTGTTTTTTTTTTCCCCTGTAAAAATGAGGTTTCACTGAAACACATGCAAATTCACTAAAAAGGTAATTTGTAAATGTGGTTCGCATTTGTATCAACAATAGTAAAGTTTACAAAGTAGTGTGAAAATATGTGGTAAAAAGCATAAAAGATGCAATAGCGGCCAATTTTTTATCTGCTATCTCTACCATTATACTGTTTATTGATGCTTAAGAGCATTTTGTCTGAGTGTATGTGCGTAGTGGTAGCCTTTTTTTCCTCCACTAAAGGGGCAGAAATAGTTGTATTACTTTTTCATTTCTATTTACCTCTTACTGCCCTTTTTGGCTTTAGGTCCAGCTCCTTCTGTTTTGGATTATCTGTCTGAGAAAGACAGAGAAAGACTCAAAGAAGCGAAGCAAGCATCTGAACAACAAATGAAGGCAAGAATGTTGCCTCATCAGTCACGAAATAGCAGATTCCAGCCAGCCTCCCCGGATGATGCTTCTCACAAATGGCAAATGTTGTTGGGGGAGCAGTTAGCAAATGCTGGTTCTAGTGACTTCAAACCATTTGCAAGAAATCCAGAAAAACAAAAAAGATACGAAAGTTTTGTGAAAAGCCTTAAACAAGGAGAAAAAGGTAACCGAAGAGATTAATCCTGACGTTTAAATTTTTCTCTGAAAAAGTATGTCTCAATTTTTTTTTCTTTCTTTCCCCCTCCCCCCTTTTTTGTCTTATTGCGTTCTATGTTCACTATGAGTTCTCTTCCTGAATTCTGCAGCATTTCTCCCTCTGCTTCTTCTTAGCACCAATATTAAAAGAAATTTTTACTGATATTTAATTATAGAATCATAGAATGGTTTAGGTTGGAAAGGACCTTGAAGACCGAGTTCCAAACCCCCTGCCATGGGCAGGGACACCTCTGACTAGACCAGGTTGCCCAAGGCCACATCCAGCCTGACCTTGAACACCTCCAGGGATGGGGCCTCAACAACCTCTCTGGGCAACCTGTTCCAGTGCCTTACAACCCTTAAAGTGAAAAACTTCTTCCTAATGTTTAATCTAAACCTGCCCTCTTCTGGTTTATATCCATTCCCCCTCGTCCTGTCACTACATGCCCTAGAAAAAAGTCCTTCCCCAGCTCTCCTGTAGCCCCTTTAGGTACTGGAAGGCCGCAATAAGGTCTCCCCGGAGCCTTCTCTTCTCCAGGCTGAACAGCCCCAGCTCTCTCAGCCTGTCCTCATAGGAGAGGTGCTCCAGCCCTCGATCATCCTCGTGGCTCTCCTCTGGACATGCTCCAGCAGGTCCATGTCTTTCTTATGTTGAGGACTCCAGAGCTGGACGCAGTACTCCAGGTGGGGTCTCACGAGAGTGGAGTAGAGGGGCAGGATCACCTCCCTTGACCTGCTGGCCACAGTTCTTTTGATGCAGCCCAGGATACGGTTGGCCTTCTGGGCTGCGATTGCACATTGCTGGCTCATGGTGAGCTTCTGGTCAATCAGCACGCCCAGGTCCTTCTCCTCAGGGCTGCTCTCCAGCCACTCTCCACCTTGCCTGTATTTGTGCTTGGGATATTTGTATTTGTGCTTGTGGTTTTGTTGACTTCAGGAAAACTGCTCAGTAGTTTTAAGTGTCAGCAAGATTTGATTTTAGGCATTACATTTCATATTTTTATGCTGTAGCAGAAGTGGAGTTCTCCACTTAACTGCCTGTATTTCTGGGTTTCCCATCTTTTATGTGGCAAAGTAGACTTCAGCTTTGGCCAATATCATAAACTATGCATTGAATAAGCATTTTCATGTAGTTTGTTTCTGTTTGAGGAGTAGAACTGACAGATCCTATAAAGGCAGAAAGATTCTTGGATCACAGTAGAACAGCAGGTTTTTTGCCTTTTCCCACACAAGACAGGAAAAATCTAAAGAAAGCCCATACCCTGCACTTTCAGAGGAGATAGGGACCTTAAAGTGAACGAAGTAGTTCACACTGGTCAAAGCTTGTATTACATGTCCTTTGGATGCTCAAGCTGCCACTGTCAGTTATGTTCTTCACAGAAATATTTGTGGCTATAAAATCATAGCATGCATGCAGAGCTCTTACTCAAACACCCACCCCATCCCCAACCCCTTTTATCTGCTCTTTTCATGCTTTGTCAGGTAGGAAACCTGGTTTTGTTATTTTAGGATTTTTTTTAAATAATACTTTTCATTATATGAAAAAAGGTTTCCTGGTCAGTAGCGTCTTCTGGTTAGCGCATTGGGACAGACTACTTGAGCTTTGAATTCATAGTTCTTCCGTTCAGGACTGGGGTATTCCCTGTGTAAAACTGAGCATCCTCTTGTGACTGTAAGTGCCACCTTAGTCATAACAATGAAAACACAGAAATATTTAAATAACTTGAATGATTAAGATTCTGTTTGTAAGAGCATTTGCTTGGCTGGTATTATTGTCTATTCTTTCTGGGAGCAAATTGCTTTAAACAGGGCCTGTATCGTTCACGAAAACCCGTGTCCAAATTCTGTCTCTCTCAGATACAGATGCTACTTTATATAGCAGAATGCCCCTCGAAGTTACCAAAGCCTGGCCAGGCTTACTCACTGGTTAACTTTTTTTTTCCCCTGTTTTAGTTACTTGATAAAGCTTTGGATTATACTGTTTGTTTTAAACACCTATTAAATACATTAAGTATTTTGAACATTCCTTAGAGGGAAGTGAGTAAGTAGTCAGCATGACAAGTAAAATTGTTTAAAATATCTCTTTTGCATTTGGCAAATGCTATCATTCTTGCTGTCTTGCAAAATTACCTCTGCTTATAAATGAATAGCACAGTTGAGATTAATACTATCTTTAAACACTCATTAAATACTTGCAAGGATGTTTGCTTATTATCTTGGGTTTTTTTTCTTGAAAAGTGTCAAGACCTAAGTCAGCTGTAATCTCTGCTAAGCATTTCTCTCCTTATTTTATAGTAGATACATTGGAGCATTATTTAGACCCAAGTATGACAGAGTGGGAGCGAGGAAGAGAACAAGAGGAGTTCTTCCGTGCAGCCATGTTCTACAAATCCTCAAATTCAACGCTCTCATCCAGGTTTACCCGCGCCAAATATGAAGATGATGTTGACAAAGTCGAAGTTCCTCGGGACCAAGAGGTATATGCCGTTTACATTATTTTAGTACATTGGAGCTGCAGTTGCTGCCTTAACCCTGACTTTCAAAGTTCTTTTTCTTTAAAACTCTTTTGTAGATATAATGTCAATGTTTTGTTGCCCTTCTGTGTAGCAAACTTGTGAAAACACTCACTTCATGCAATCAGCAATTTGTTAAGCTACACGTAAATATTTATGTTTCTGTCCTGTTCTTAGTCTTAAAACAGTAATAGTCAATTTAGTAAGTTGTTCCTTATTTAGCAGCTATAAATGTTTGGCTTTTTCAGAATGATCTTGATGATAAGGAAACTGCTGTGAAAATGAAGATGTTTGGCAAACTCACAAGAGACAAGTTTGAATGGCATCCTGAAAAGCTGTTGTGTAAAAGATTTAATGTTCCTGATCCATATCCTGAGTAAGATGATTGATACTGATATTTTTAACACTTCTTGAAAATTCTATTTCACACGCTTGTGGAAAATCTGGCTTGATGTTTTCTTTTTATGTCCTAATAGATGTAACTGCCTAATGTTTCTATTTGCCTGTTTAAACATGGTGACCTCTGACAAAGTAGGTCATGCGTTTTAAGGACTACTGTAGGTGTTTCATGTTGTGGTAGATAATTTGAGGTCTTTTCTATGTTGAAAACAATAATCAACAAACGTTTTTATTTCCCTTTAGTTCTTCCGTTGTTGGGTTACCAAAAGTGAAACGAGACAAGTATTCTGTGTTTAATTTCTTAACTCTGCCTGAGCCCACCACATCTGTAACTCAAGCAATGAATGAAAAAATCCAACAGAATAACAGTCTCAACAGTAAGTTTGTTGTTACTTTATGAATTTAGCTATGAATGAGATAATAGTATAGAAAAGGTATACCTTTGTCACTGAGAACTTATCCACCTGATTTTTTTCTTTTAAGTAAAAAAAATAAATAAATTCAGTGACATAGAAACTGAAGTCAGTGGCATTATGCTAATTTCTTTCACCTAGAAGACCTTTATAGGTCAGATACTCATTAGAAAGATGTAAAAAATGTCAAACTATACTGAGGAAGCAGAGGAATTTAAAACCAGGTAGCCAAGAAATGTAGGGTAGTTTGGCATGCAACTGATCTGACTGAATGTTTGGGACTTTTTCAGAACCAAAGAAACCTTCAAGATGGGATGTGTCAGATAAAGAGAAGGAGAAAAAAGATTCTATCAGTGAATTCATTAGTCTTGCTAGGTCAAAAGTTGACGTTCAGCAGCAGCCACCAGTGCCAGCAACAGAAGAAAGTGGAACTGGGCCGAGTGAAACTCCTTCTGCTGAGGTGAGTTCACAACAGTGTTTGTACTTACAGCGCAATAGCTGTAAACCTTCACAACCCTGAAATAAGGTTGGGTAACACATGAATTGATTTAATACAGATCAGCTTGCAGAAGAGCCAACTCAGGATAAGCAAAGACATGAGATTGTACTTTGAAGAATTTCGAGGTTATAACTCTGAGATGTAAAACATTTGCAGCATACGAGGACAGCAAGTATGACTATACCTGAAGTAGCAGCTTAAGAGAAGATAAAATATAGCTCAGCAGTCTGGGAGTTAAATTCAGTCCTTTACACGCACTTTGCTTACAGGCACTTAACATATTTTTTTCTGCTTTGAATGGAGGAGGGTGCATACTTTGGGGAGAAGGGTGATATTTTCCTTTTGCTTAAATTTAGTATAACTGAAGTTTGAATTAATGAATTAGAATAGATCTTGGGATCTATTTTCAACTGTCTGTGTAGCACAAATTGCACTGCTCTTCACAGGACATAGACTTAGTTTCAGAGTTTTACTATTTTGGACTAGCAGTTCCTAAGACTATATTTTACAGCTATTGTGATATTGAGTGTTTTGTAAACACAGGTCAGCATGCTTGAAGTTGTTAAGTATCAGAGAGAGATTGCTAGTTTCTTTAGTGTTAAATGCCGTTTGTTATGATGCTGTTTTGCAGATATCTAATGAAGATAAGGATCAGGAAGAAGAAAGCAGACCGTCCATGGACTTATTTAAGGCTATCTTTGTGAGTTCCTCAGATGAAAAATCATCTTCCTCTGAAGAAGAGAGTGATGAAGAACAACAACCAACTACCTCGGTAACAGATTCAGAAACCGCCAAGCAAGTTGATCTACCAGACAGTTCTTCATCTAATGTACAAGGTAGTACTTAATGGGTATTCATTTTTATAAATACCTTGTAAAAGCTTCATTTATGAATTGAATATTCCAGGACTGCTAGGACAGTGCTGTGCTCTTGTGCAGATCATCTGACCGGTGGAGCTGGGCGTGTAGAAAATGTGAATAATACAGCACTGAATAAGGCTTTGCATGTTGCATTGTTGTTTACGCTGTCGTGTTTATGTTTATAGTGTTATTTATGTTGTGTCTTGTGTAGATTTTACAAGCAAAATGAGCTATGGAATAGTGCTTGTTAAACAATGAGGGGGAAGTCTAATGTTAGGGCTTACTTCACTGAGAAATACAGCAAATATTTTATACCTATGATAAAATGTAAGATAGATTGATAAATTATGACTGCCTTGTGATGGATATTGGACAAATTCAGAAATAAGTAGCTTGGATTTCTTTGATAATTAAATTCATGCTCTAAATACGGACATTCCAGTAAAATACAATGTTGGAATAATTTTACTAAGACATCAGAAAGTTGCATTTTATTTGTATTCTAGCACAAGTTGCCAGAATACTTCCACAAGAGAGGGAGAAGACCAATCTTTTACTCGACTTCTTAGTAAAGTTTAATAAGTGAGCTGTAAAAAGTTCCCATACCTTTAGGATGCCATTAGATTAACAAAATGCACAATATACTTAGCTTACAATGTAAATACTTTGTCCACTTACTGTCACGGTTGGTTCTGTTAACATCTAACTTTCAGTGTTTATTAACTTTCTAGAACTTGTGTAGTCTTTTATTAATTCTTTGTAATGGAAAAGTAGTACTGTGTTACTAAATAAAAGCAAACACAGGCACTGTTATTAATTTAATTAGTGATTGTATAGTGTAAAAGGTCCATTTTGATTTTAAAAAACCCCAAACCCAAACAACAGCATGTTGACATGTTTCAGAATGTCGGCTATCCAGTTTGCCAAAGCAGTCCACAGAGGTACAGGATGCTATCAATTTGCTTTCTTGAAGGACGTTTTTAGAGAGCGCCTTTTTTAACTTTCTTCAGCACTTCTTGGAAAACATGTTACCTTATTTTCCTTTCAAATAAAGAAATTTTTGGGGTTTTTTCCATAGAGAATGTGGCTCCTACAACTGATCCTGGTGTTCCTTTGTTGCGTACTTCAAAGCAGGAACCGGATGCAGCAGAGGAATTTGGACCAAAGTTGCCTCCAGCTTTTTCTTCTGGTAGGTTCTGTAGACTTCTAGTGTGTAAATTCTACACATTGAAGTTGTATGTAAGATACACGTTATTTCTCCTTAAAAAAACGTTTGTGAGTAGGTACTTCCCCTCTTAAATGCCTGTGTTATTTCAAACTGGCACCCAAAAATGCGTTGTTCCCATGCTGTGATCAACTAGCCGGAGCCTCTTTGGCTGTGTATCAATTTTGTTGTAGTTCTGTAGAGGCAACAATAAAAAAACGTAGTGAAAATACAGGACCAGCCTTGCAATTGCTTCAAATAACAAATTGCAAAGGCATTTAATTACAGTAGGAAGGTTGCAGCTAGGAGTTGTAGACATTTCATTTCCATTTGAAAGCTTAGATTTTTTTTAAACTATCCTATTAGATGAAAAATATTACAGAATTTAATAATAAAATTACCTTTTTTTTTTGTTTGTTTCTGCATTTTCTTTGCACTTTAGGCCCTACTTGGCAACCAGTGGTGCCAGGAAGTTTTCCTGGGCCTAGTAGGAAAGAAAAACACAGAAAGAACAGAGAGAAACACAAGACTAAGAGAGAACACAAACACAAAAAGGAAAAGGTATTTAATTATTTTATTTTATTTTTTATTTAATTTAAAAGTTTATTCATTCTGTGATCTGCCAGTAAAATTTTTTATTATTTGTGCTGGGTTGTAGAACATAGATATACTGGGACTAGAACTTAAGCAACTGAGTTTCTGAGGGGTCTTGAAACAGAAGAGAAAATTATGCAACTAGGGTGCTGCTTTTTCCATATATACAATGTGACTACAGGTACAATATTGTGGGTAGTGTAATATTGTATGCTGAAGATGACAGACGTATTCTGAGAACTGCATATAATTCATGGCTTGTATACAAATAATAATAATGATATTTCTATGGGGGGTGGGTGGGTGGGGTGAGTGCTTGGGATGAAATGGGTGATTTTGGTATATATTTTTTAGCTCAGTCCGAGTAGCGGAAAAGAGTCATTGTGAAGTGTTCTGCTTCAGTTCAGCTTTGAGTCTACACCGAAATCTACTTTTTGCTGTTGTTGCCTTTCAGAGAAAAAGTCTTTTGCAATGAAATAAGGGATTATTTCTCTTCTTTTTACAGAAAAAGAAACATAAGAAACAGAAAAACAAAGGAAAACACAAGAATAAAAAATTAGAAAAAAACAGCAGCTCAGACACTGCAGACAGCAGCGACAGCCTTAGTGATACAGATACCACAGGCTTGTCACCCAAAGAACTTCTGAGAAGGTAAATGGAACGTTTACTTAAACACTTGCAAATTTTGCAGTGAACCTGTTTGCAGCAAATATGGATCGGCCGGTCTCTTCATGAATACAAAATACTGCTCAGGTTTTTTTAATAAAGTGAGGAAAGATTGCAAATATTATACATCTTAAGCTAGAGGGTAATTAATTTTAGGATAGAAGTCTCTTAGGATAAAGGGCACTAAATACACAAGTATGATAGTTAATGGAGTTTACAGTTAAAGATGACTGATATTTTTGGAAGGTATTTTGAATGGGAATTAAAAATTGAACAAGTGTGGGTGGTGATTCATATTTCCGTTACTTTGTCTACTTCTCTTTACTTGGGAGACATTAGAAGCAAAGTTTTAAGCTTCAGGATGTTTGAGTCTGCTTTGGTTTGTTGATAGTGAAAGATCGATTCAAATAGATCCATTGTGTGGCATTGATGCTTAAGCTAATTCTGTGCTTGGGCAAGGAGCAGTGAAGCAAGCAGAACAATGCGTGAGTCACGTACATGTCTGCTAAATCTAGACTGTGCTGTTTCATTTTTATAAACTAGAGACTTGAGCATAGTGCCAACAGAAATGCGAAAATCAAAAAAGAACAATACATAGTTTCATTTTGCTCAAACACTTGAAGTACAAACAAAAGTCTCTTGTTCAGATCATAGTCAACTTCAAGTGCATCGCATGCAGAACAGTCACTGTGTTGGCTTTTGGTTAGCGTTTCTGATTAGCTGAAGGAGAGGTCTCAACATCTTTGTTGAAGTGCCACATCCAGTTGGCCTAATGGCAGAGTGGTTGGGGTTCAGGGTGGAGATGTGCCCGTGGAAAGGCTGGCATTCCAACGGACTCTTTGGAACTGAGCAGCAGTTATGTATTGGTGTCTTCTTAGTGAAAAAACAAACTGCTTCTCTCTTGATTTCTAAATAGCTAAAATATGTATATGTGTGCATGCATTTTGCACAAGCAGTTATTTTGGAAGTCTTCGCATTTGCATGCCTCTATATCATTGAGAAAATGTTTTTATCTCACATAACTCGGATCTCTCTCTTACACTAAGGTTTAAGAAACTGCTCAAGTAATTAAATGGTCTTAATGTTGCATGTTACTATTCAGTCTGACTGCTTTCTTTTTCTTTCCCCCTTTTAGATTAAAACAACTTGAGTATTGAAGAGGCGGCTTGCTTTATTCAGTGCGGTGTGGCTTTTGATCTCAAATTTTTGATCTCCTCCATGATGGTAGATCAGTCGTCTACTTTGAAGCACTCTAGATACTGTATTCATATTGAATTTGTTTGAAAGTAAATGTACATATGTTTATTTTGTGATGCTTCATATGTTCAAAATGTATGGATTATGTAATGTTGAAAGGACTCCTGTCTGGGCAGCATAATCTGAAATACTGCAGGCTCCGTTTTAATTAACGTGAAACAAGGTATTTTAATAAACTGAAGTAGGAAAAATCATATTGTATGGTATGTCATTGCCTAGGACCTCTAAATGCTGGAGAGTAAATTTCAGTCTGAATTAAGTTAGGAAGTTAAAAACTAAAGCAAGGTAAAACTTACTGGGTGCAATGGCAGGGAGGTTGGAACTTGATGATCTTCAGGTCCTTTCCAACCTAAACCATTCTATGATTCTAATGATTTTTAACAGTTTTTAAGTCCAATGCGAATTTCAGATTGCAGTTTTGCAGTACTTGGCTGTGCTTGGAGTTGGTTTTACATCTCCAAAGCGCATATGGCATTTACCACAGCAGCTCTAAGCCAATGAACTGTCACTTAGACACAAATTCTTGAGGCTAATGTACTAAACGATTAGTACTATAATTACAGCCTGCCTTATTTTATGTAGTTACAATGAAAACTGTTTATACCACTTTTCGTTTCGCGCAGTACATTTAAAACCCGGTGGTTATCTTGTAGAATCATTTTAATACAAACTACGAAACGACGCAGAGCCGCGTTCCGCACGGCCGGGCCCTCACGGCAGAGGGCGCCGAACGCCCTGTGGGGCGCGGGGACCGAACGAGTATTCCCGCTCCACGTCGCGCACAAGCGCCCCCGACCGATCGGCGCTCGTTGTGCCGCATCCGCAGCGCCGTGACAGCCTTCGCGCGGGTTCAGATCCGAAGTCACGGCGGAGACGCGACTGGGGGAAGGAGAAACAACGCGTCGGGCCCC